TAAGGTCTTTATCACTGACTATGGTTGTTGGCATATCATATAGCTTGTATATGTTGTCCATGGAAGGTTTAACCACTAGTATAAGGGTGTGATAGTGCTGAGAAATGAGCATATTTATTGAAATGATCTACCATTACAAATACAACTTCTTTTCCAACAGGGTAACCCTCTATAAAATCCATGCTTGTATCAGTAAAAGGGACTATAGAAATTAGTAAAGGTTTTAATAGACCTGAGGTAAGAACATTCTCATATTTATTTCTTTGTTAAACTGAGCATTCATGCATAAATTTCTTAATATGCCTTTGTTATTTCTTCTAGTAGAATAAATTGCCAACCCTTTTAGAGTAATAATAACACATAAATAGCCTCTCACTACTGAATCATGATACATAGCAATCAACTTATTTTGTATGACTAGATTCTATCTGACCACTATTTTCTTTTCTTTTTTGTTTAAATAGTTGTTCACCCATTTTAATATGAATAAGATGCATGATCTATAATTAGATCTTGGATGGTTGTTTGTAAAGTAGCATTTTATTTTCAAAAGTCTATAATCTCATTTATTAATTTAATAGAAATAGATGACATAGTTAAAACATATAATTAACTACTAGTAACTCTTGATAGTTCATCAACAATAATATTTTCTTTCTATTTTCTGTATTTAATTTCATAATTAAATCCAAATAACTTAGTTAACTATAAATGTTGAGATGGATAGTTTACCTTCTGATTAAGTAGATACTTGAAAGTAATGTGATCTGTGTTGATTTTAAAATGTCTTCTCCATAAGTAATGTCTCTATTTAGTCATTACATGTAACACTACCATCATTTTTTTCATAAATAGAAAGAGTTTAATGTTTAGGGTCAAATATTTTGTCAATAAAAGTAATCTGGTGACCTTTTTGCATTAACATAACCCATATACATACAGTAGAGCCATATGTCTTCAAAATAAATAACTTGTTAAGGTTAGGCATTGCTAGTACTATTGGTTGTGATTAGTTTTCTTAAGTTGTTTGAATGTTATTGTAATTGCTTAATTCCACTTGTATGTATCTTTTTTAAGTAGCCGAGTGAAGGGTCTGTAAATTAATTCATACCTTTTTAACAAATATAGTATCCAACTAGACAGAGGAAACCCCTCATTTGTTTGATGTTCTTAAGGACTATCCATTCAATAGTAACTTTAATTTTTTGTGGGTCAATAGCTACTCTTTCTCTAGAAATAATATGACCTAAGTATTCCACCTTGCCACTATATAAAACACACTTACTGACTTTAGCAATCAATAGGCGAGTTATTAGCAATTCAAATACCACTTTAAGATGTTTTGAATGGTCATTTAGAGACTGATTATACACTAGCATATCATATAAAAAAAAGTATGAATCTTCTGAGATGTATTCTAAAAACTTCATTCATTATACTTTTAAAAGTTGCAGATGTATTGGTAAGATCACATGCCATCACCATAAACTCATAATGGTCATTATGAGTTTTGAAAGTTGTTTATATAAATACTCTCTTATTCCATTACGATTTGATGGTAAGCTAACCTCAAATTAATCTTTGAAAAAATAGTGGCATTAACTAGCTTTTCCAATTGTTCATCTATTAAAGGTATGGAATACTTGTCTTTAATAATAAGCTTGTTAAGTACTTTATAGTTCATACAAAGTCTCTAGAAACGATCCTTCTTCTTTATTAATACAACTGGAAATGCAAATAGGCTTATACTATTCTAAATAATGTGTGTTTCTAACATTTCTAAAATCATTTTTTTTATGAAATCTTTCTACAATTCTGAATATTTGTAGGGTTTTAAATTCATAGGTTGTGCTCGCTCTTTCAATGGAATATAATGGCTATGCAATCTAAATGAGGATAATGTTTTTAGCTTTATAAAAACCTCATTATATGTTTCAAGTAGCTTCTCTAGTACAAAGTTATTTTCTATATTAAGTCTTAAGATTGTAGTCATAGAGTGGGAACTTAGGTACCCTTATTTAGTATTCTCAAACTATACAAACTAGTACTTATTTTATAAGTATCACTATCCAATAATCCATTAAGTTGCTTAAACCTAATAGTTTGTAGTTGAGCAAGGTTGTCTCTTTTAAGCATAACTTGTTAGCCATAACAGTAGAAGGAAATCTATTTTTCTTTGTAATTGCACCATGTATCACTAAGTAAAGCTAACCACTGTATTTCCAGGAACATATCACAACTTGTTGGTTCCACAATGAATATGTTAGCTAAAAATTTGACACCCTTTATTTTCCACTAAAAGTGCTTACATACAATAATGCAAATCATTTTCCCACCATTAAAAGCCTCAACAATAATTGGTTTAATGTTAGTGAGTTGACATTTTAATTTATCAACTATCTTAGGATTAGTAAAATTATTTGTGCCACTTAAATCCACTATGATATATAGGGATTGTTTTTCCATCTTACCAGTCACCTTCAAGGTGTGGTAATAATATTCTTTTCAATGGAATTGATAGATATATGTGGACTAATGTTTTTAAAACCATACTCTTTCTCTTTTATTTCTCCCTCTTCATCTTCAATAATGCATAAAGAATATAGTCTCTTTTTTTTGCATTTGTACTTATAAGATAAAATGTTTTCATGGAGTTTAGCTATATTATAGGCTTGTTTTAGTTGTTTTGGTTCAAATATTTTAACATGATTTTTAATTACCACCTTCATATCTCCTACTAATATCCTCAATACTTGTTTCTCTCCTACTTATTTCTCCTACTTCAGTCTTATTCTATATAATATCAAAGTCCACATATTCCCTTCAAGTAACCTCAAACCCACATCTACTTCCCATAAAATTTGGATGTCAATAAATAGTCATTCGATCAAGATAATAGAAAGCTAGTTTGAGTTTATCACCTTCCTTAATTTCTTCAACCTCAAGATAGTAGAAAGCCACTTATAAACGTCTTCATCATCAAAGCTAGGAAAATCTCATTTAGGTTTACATGTCTTATAAGAATAGTGACCGTCATCACAAGTTCCATAGTTTCTAGCAGCAAACCTAGCTTGGTCCCCTCGATAGCTATAGAAAGCACTTGTTTCCCCAGCATTAGTATATGATTTTTGTTGCCATAAACTTTGTTGGCAAGTAAGCTCTCCCGGTATTTCTTGAAGTTTCTCAAGTATAAGATCAATTTTCTCAAATCTGACTTCATTAATGATCTTAGATTCTTTTAAATGTTGTTCATACATCTCTAAAAGTTCCACAACCTTATCATACTTCTAATCATGATTCCTATTAAAAATAGCAATGGATTCATCAACTTTATCTTCAATCATTTTTAGATTTAAAAATAAGTATCCAGCGGCATACTTTGATTCTAAAAATCTGTGGCTCTGATACAAGTTGATATAAGATTAGTGTATAAAGTTCCTACACAAAGAAAAGCTAGGGATTATTGAGAAGAATTCTAGAACATATGAGTAGCAAGTTAGTTATCAATGAACATTAAGAAGAAAAAAATGGTGTGACGAGCATCCCTCGTAACTACCTCATCATTTAACTACCTCATCATATTTTTCTACTGTCATTTTGTTATATTGCAGAGCTAAACACTAGAAGGGTATCCTTCTAAAGAACAAAGCTTTTATTACTTCTTACAAGTTACACGTTATGATATATAAAGAGATTAAAAAAGATGAGGTTTAGAAAAAATATAGTGTATAACTAAATATTTAAACAAAACACAACATGTAATTAACTGAAATGAAATAAAGAGTATAAATGAAACATATCGTTTTCATAACAGTCACTTCTCATTCAAATATTCCAACAGTTAAATCCTCCTTATGCATTCTCTTTTCCATCCTTAGCAGGACTAGATTGTGACCAAAAAATGTTATTATTGTACATATTTAGCAAATTTATAGAAAATGAAGTATTTTTTGAATTTGTTAAGAATTGGTAATGCATTCAGAATAGCTCCATAATTTTATATCTGTGATCATGATTGCGACCACTTTTACAAAGATTTAACATCAATATTTTCACCCTTCAAATTAAAAAAAAAAAAAAAAAAAAAAAAACCGAGGAATTCGAAGCTTGTGTCATTTGATGACTAACATAAATAATGAAGGGGGTTAAAGAGATCATGGAGAAATCCGCCATTGCGATGTTAAAGAGATGGGTTTTTTTGGTATCTTTCCTTCTAACAACAGTGCTACGTGGGTTTATCATACAATTATGCTGTTATAGCTCATATTGCGAAGCTTTAAAAATTATTCTGGTGATGGCTCTTATAATCTTCTATATGCGTTCTCTTTGTTGGTTTTTCTGTTTAAGAATGCCAAATCATTAATATCCAAAACACGCTAACGATATGGTAGAATTATTTGGTCCGTCGTCCTCCTCATTACAGTCCTCCTACATCCAATTCTCCAAGAATTATCGTATATTGATGTTCGAAATCGCTCTTGTGAACTGTAAGGTTTTGGGCAACGTACAAACCCTCGTCGAAGGTTTCTCTGCATGAAAGGCAATGGAGCTGCGTCCCGGCAAAATCAAACCTGATTCTTGCCTCTCTCGCACAAAGCCATCTTACGTTTGACCTAACCGGTGGCGTACTTCACGGGGAGTCATAGCTCTTTTTGTGTCTCAAGGGAATTTCTCTGTTTCTGTCCCTTTCTCTGGTTTGTCTTCCATAATATATTCGTGGAAAGACTCGAGGAAACTTTGAAAATTCTTTGCCCGTCATGTGCTCTATAATCATTCAAATTCTCATTGTCTTTGTCGAAATTCTTGCAGCTACTAATGGAAACTTCAGAAAAACTTGGGTGGCAGCTTTTCCCGTTATAATTGCAGTCCATGCAGTAGGTTGTTTTATAGTTAACTTACTCTCAATTGCCCTGTTAATCACTAATCTTACTTGTACGCTCGTGAGTACTGAGAGGCTGATAAAAACTACAATTAAATTATAAGTTACAACTAAAAGACAATGGAAGCTAAGGGAACTGTAATAACATTATAATATTGGATGCATTGAGTCAAACTTTAGCCATTTTAATGTTGTACACAAATATAAGGAAAGCAGCTTCCATGGAATATAGCAGTCACTTGTGTAGCCAGTCATCATCCATATGCGCACACCGATAACTCAATAAATGGACCATCCTGTTGCATCAACAAAAGAAGCTTTAAAAATTTCTCGAGATAACAAATCCAAGCAATAACCTTTTGGTGGAACAACTTACCCTAGTAACTTGATCTGTTGGCAGAGAGATACGCGAAAATAATAGACAATAAAACGAAAAGTAGGACGATCTGCATTAGATGATAAAAGAAATTAGATGATATTCCCAATTCATATTCTTGAAGCACGCAAAGCATACAAGACAGATATAGGCATCCAACTGTGGATTAATCAGTAAGATTGGAAAGGAGGGGGAGCTAATCTCATTCATTCTTTTTCTATTTAATTCATATCAAATAAAGTGCATATTTCACAGAAAAATTAGGATTAAGAAAATATAAAATCCAGCAAGTTCTAGTCTATGCTGAAATTTATATGCGTAGCATGTAATTAGAAATAAATGAATTACTTGGAACAAGAAACTTGCGACTAGGCATACATGAGAGGAAATCAGGTTGACAATTCAGCAGAAACTCACCAGAACAGAATTATATTTTGCCTCATTCCTAATTATGTAAGATTTCCTGGTAGAAGAAAGACAAAGTGTCAGCCACAAAAAGAAAGAAAAGAAAAATACCATTCAATGCTCAGTGGATAGGTTGACAAACCTTTTGTTTAGAGCCCCAGATTCCCTGCAAGATTTTTGTGCTGCTTCCAGCCTGCTCAAGGTTTTTATTGCATTAGGATCGCTGTTGTCAACCTGCAGTAGCCAATTTCACTCTCTCAATATAGGCACGTGTTTTTCTTCTTTTTTTTCCTGAGAATTCAGCAAGCAAACTTAAAAGTAGAGAAACTTGGTGTGGATTAAAATCGACCACACCAAACATTCACGGGCACTTGGCGAAAAAGCTCACAGCTGTATACATAAAACTTCCATTCTCAGAATCTGACAAGACCGCTGCAGTTGTTGATTGTTGTTATCAAGATGTGACCACAGTTGTCGATTGTTGTTATCAAGATGTGACATTAGTGAATTATACAATGTCTCAAAGCCTACAACCAAGCAGGGGAAATAATGCAGCAACCTAATATCATTTGCTTATCCATCGAAGAGGGGAGAGGCACAGTCCTAACCACAAAAGGCTTTGATGGATGAATATATATTCGTTCTTATAAGATTCTACCAAATTGAAATGCACAATGGGCTTCCTATTGTCAAGGATTGGAAGCATAAAATGTGTTGCTCCCTTCTATGAAATTATTGTCTAGAAAGTCTATTTGGCATAGATTGTGCAGTCATGCTTCTTAGGTTCAAGATGATGAATAAGTCCATAACAAGCTGGCAAGAGAAAACTGAAGCATTATAGGGTGCAGTATTTGTTACAAGTGGGAGAAATATAACTTCCATGCTGGAACTTGCCAGGAAAGGCGATATATCAGTTAGAATTTAAGGAAAGCATCATACCTTGGACTTCAGCATACAAGAGAAGTCGAAGAAAGCACCATAGACATCATCCATTGTTTTCGTTTGATGAAGAACTTGAGCGGTAAGACCTAGAAATCGTTTAACATTAAATTAAACATCATTGAATAAGGAATCATGAAAACCCAGTCCATTATGTTTTGATGTTGGTAAAAAACGACAAACTAAAATCCTTTAAACATTTAAGAGCAGCAGGGGTGATCTGGTGGATGGGGCATGGGGCATGGGATTTTAAAAAATAATCCGAGATATACAAGTTGGGTCATGATTTACTTAGTCTGAGAATTATGCAGTTCCTGAACAAACAAATGGTATCCATGGAATGGCCATTTTGGGAGGATTATATCATCTATTGCATTTGCATTCTAAAGGCAATTCCATGTTATGATAACATAACAACAATAAAAACCTTCCAGCTTCATAAGATATTTACATGAACCAAAATAATCTGTGTTACAGCTATAGCATTCCACCACTATCAGGTGCCAGGGAAAGAATGCTGTCTATAAATTAGTCATACCTCGCCTCATCTTCACTACACCTCTGAAGACATTGACATTGTTGTAGCACATGGCTAGAGTTCCAATCGCCATGATCTGGCAAGAGAGAAGTCAAATTAAAGGAAACCTTCCACCAAAACATCCAGCATACCTATTACTAAACCGGGATTTGTTCACCGAGAAATAAAATATTTGACAGGATGAAAAATTCAGGGGAGTTGCAGATTATGTGAAAAGGCATAAGTATAATTCAAGTAGGCAAGCTACAAGACAAGAAACAATGATATCTTCAGATGTCAGTTTAAAGTTTATCTCTTACCTGAGGAATAGCACAAAACCGAAATATAGCAGGATCCCGCAATTCAGACAAGTACTTCAAGCAATCATCCATATGTATCAAGGCATTGGTAACCATATCATTCAAGCACTGCACTGCCTTCACCGAGTTCCCTTCATGTTTCAAGTCCTGAGGCACAGAACACAAAATGGGGAGAATGCTAATAAGATGGATGAACCAAATAAAAAAACTAATACTTTTCAAGTATTATTAAATTAACATCATTAATGAACATAATGATGGCAAAAGGATGTCGATGGTACCAAGGTTGAGACAATAAATGGAAAAGAAGTAAACCTCAAGTTTGTTGACATATTTGCTCCAAATCTCGCGAGGCCAAAACATGCGTGACTTAGGTATCTCGTTTATGTCCTCCAAATAATCACGAATAATGTTTGTTTTCTGTGTTTTATCAAATCCAGGATTGAACATGTTAGAAATCCCAAAACAAAGTTAAGCCTACAGATTAAACACATTGATCGCTATTGCATAATAGTATTACCTGAAGAAACAAACCCATTGAATTGGAGAGGCTATCTGGTGCCAAATCTTCTAATCCAGAGGCATGGAAGAGTTTGGACAGGCCCAATCCAACAAGTCCTGCTACATAGTGGCAATATTCATCATAGTCATCAATGCTTTCCACCTGCATACCAGAGTCTAATGTGTCACATAAACATAACATTTCACCTTCTGTACTAAGAAAATCAGGAGAAATTGAAGCTAGTGCCATTTGATGACTAACATAAAACATAAGGAAACTGTTATAGCCTTATAGGATACAATAGTTCTTTCAGCATCTTTTATTAAGTTCAAGAATGTCTTTAGCTGACATCCAAAGGGATCAGATATGCAACCCTAATGTCCTGTGCTCTCTCTTGAAGGATAACTAAATACTCTAACTTTTCACCATTCATTCTTCCCTCTCTTGATAATCTATTCTTCTACTTGATAACCAAGCAACTGAATCCTGGAATGCATATAGTTTGAGCTCACTACAGTCCACAACACACATCTGCATAATTATTATACTTTTGATAGCATGACAGATGCATTCACAGAAACAGACAGACACCACACACACACACACACACACACATTTGTATGGAGTATCATGCAAATTCAGCAGTGGAACCAAGAGAAATCCTTTTTTCTTAGGTTAATTATCCATGCATCATCCTTCAATCCTGCATGACAACACCCCACATTACCAACCTCCTTCAAGATAAACTTTGCCATTCCAGCACCCATTCTTTTGGTAATATCCTCGATTGCCTCATGATAACTGCAGAATAAATTGAGTTACATAAGTCTTCTATTGGAGAAGAAACACACACACAAACACTATAGTGATCAGACGCAATGAGTTGATAGATGTGCAGAGCAGAATACATAGACCCTAAAACAATTAAATCCTCAGTCATTCCATGGTCAAGCAGGAGGCACAAGGTTGTAGAACTGACCCTTTTCCAAGCTCCAGAAAAGCATTTGAAACATTATGAAACTGGTCCATGAGAACCTTGTAGTCCTTGGTACCACCTTATGCAAAAGAAGAATCAAATTAGAGAGTCAAAATATTCAGTTGATGTTGCATTTTACAGAAATAAGTGCCACAGAATTGTCACCTCTCATGTATAAACTTCTGAAGCTTCATCAAAAAGGAAAGACTCAGACATGAATCAACAGTTTGTAAAAGATAGATGCAAAAACAAATTTTATAAGAATGTTCAAGCTCTTGGACTAGATACATGGTTATCAAATTAAAAATGGTAAAATCAGAACACGTAATTTTATAGCAGGTCATAAGATTTTCAGGCATTTCAAAGCACCCTTATGCAAACCGAATATAGTTATAAGCAAATAGTGTTAAAATCTGTACAGTGATAGAACAAAAGAATTAGGGTAATCATAAATTAGATTGGTATAGTCTAGGTGCCCTAATTTGTTGGTGGAAGAAATTACTTGCACAGAGAAGAAATGTTAAGTGGTGGCAGATGGAAATTATCAAAGCCAAAACAAATTTAGTCAAATCAAATGCTCTCCAATTTGTTAGAATCAAGGAAAATAAAAGTAAAAATTCAGAACTCACATGAGAAATGCCAGTCATGATCATATATGTGGCGGTGAAAAGCTATCAGGATAGGCACTTTGACATCTGTAGGTATGCTTGTATCATCCTCTGTAAAGGAATGATCAGAACAGATTAAAACACAAACAATGTATCAACTAACAAAATGACATCAATAGGTGAAACAATTAAGAGGAGATCAAGTGTTACTGAGACAGGGTGTTTTAAAGAATCTTCTCCTCACTGTATGCCAAAACTACTTAGCAAAAGGCAAAAGCTACCACTCTCTCATCTCAGATTTCTTTTTCTTCCACAAAACGACCTCGTGACTTCTGGTTGCAAAACTAGAATCTAACATAAAAATTCCCACTAGCCATATATTAGAACATAAACAATTTTTGAGCTAGCAAATTCAAACTCAATATGACACTCGCGGATTTTAAAATTCAGCAAACCCGATTTGAGGACCTAGTGCATCAACATTTTTCTAACACAAAAACACAACATAATCAATCTTAAAATTCATCAAAACCCGTTTAGGATTTATCAAATTTTGCAAGGCACAAAACCAAAAACCACATACAAAACATAAGGTTAACAAGAACAAACCAACAGTGTCAAGGGCTCGAAGAACCAGATAAAATATGCATACCTGCAAAGAAGACAAAATCAATAATCAACAAATAATCACAACCCAAAACCCAGATAGAGAGAGAGAGAGAGAGAGACCAAAACAAGGCAAATAATAACACATGAAAATGCAATGGAAATTATGCTTACAGCGTTACGGAGTTCTGTGTCAAGTTGTTGGATAACGAGAGCAAAGCTACGAGAGACTCTATGGAGCATAGAATAACAGAAAGCCCAGTGAGGTTCAGGTGGGATTTGTTTTTCAGCATGCTTAGCTGCCATTTTCAGCTTCAGCAATGGGTATATGTCAACTGGGTGTTTCAAAATCGCTCCCAAACTCCCCATTTTCGATTCCTTTAGGAAAAATCAAAATCGGAGATCACCAAATGATAGGATTTTGATTCTCACCCAGAATTTAGAGAGCGTTTTCCTTTTTTGTGTGTGTGAGAGGGAGAGAGAAGAGAAGGACCGGGAGAAAGCTGTACTTTTTTCGGTGATATCTTTATGTTGAAGAGAGTTTCCTTTTTATAACTTTATATGGGGACGGGAAATTACAAAAAGAGGGCTTGGTCCGCGTGGTGGCGAAATAGAATTTTTTATTTAATATTTTTAATTAGTATTTAGTATTATGGTAATCTTTATTTAAAAATTTTAATATATTAAAAAAAATAAAAAATATATATTAATACATTAAAAAAAATTAAAAATAGAAAAAAAATTTAAGAAGCACATTTTTCCCATAAAAATAAATGGTTATTTACTATATTTATATCTTCTCTTGAACTCACGTTTGTTTTTATTGTTCAATTTAGCCTTTTTATTTATGAATATAGTTATAATATCTAATCCATTATAAATCCGGTCTAAAGATTTGTAATGAGAGGACAAAAGGGAGAATATGAATGAGAGGAACATGGACTCTGTGAGTCCAGCTGGTAACTCGGCACTAGAAACAGGGGTTAGTTATTAATAATGCCCCAATGTTTCAAGTATATACTATTTTGGTCCTCAACCTTTGAAATTTCATAAGTTTTGCCATGGATAGCGCTGGAGGATTGTAATCAATGGCGTGAGTCCTACAAGTGTTTCAATGAGAATAATGTTAAGTATCATAAATGTTATAGAAATAATGGAATAAAATTATCTTGGAGTTCTTATAATCTTGGTAAATATATCTAAAGTTATTTAGGTATATAAAGATTTGATTTTCTTTAACTTTCTATAAATTTTTAAAAATTAGGTTATTACCAACCACGAATCGTTTAATTGTTAAACAATCAACAATTACACATACAAACTACTAATAAAAAATCTCCTAAATCTCTATTAAAAAAAATATTTCTAAACCTATAATGCTAACTCTCAATTCTATAATTTATATAATTTTTTTGTTAAATAGACAACCATAAAAAATAAAAGGCATGAATAACTATTTATAAAAAAAATTGGGGGAAAAAAAACCCTATGAATTGGTTAAATATCAATTTGCTTATTAAATAATATATATATATATATATATATATATTAATTCAAGATAGTTTTAGAAATTAACTAAATAAAATTCTTATTTTATTTTTCTAGATTTAAAAATACAGCTCGTGTATTAATTATATTTTAATTCTTATTCTTGATTAAACTATTACAGATGAATTTATGATTAATGATTCTTAATATGTGTGATCTATTAGGTTAGGTTCTTAATATCTTGGCACAAATATAAATTATAATTATAATTAAATAGAATTAAATAATTTAATTTGTTATCAATTCAACAACTGATTAAATTATACTTGAAAATCAAGTGTATCGTCTAGTAACATGTCATAATCCCCCAGATATTAGAAAAATTATTAATGATTTAATTTAATCTTTTAGTAATTAGGTTATCAGTATAATTAATATCATTTTATCAATGATATTTCAATTTAAAATTAAAACATAGAATATATTTGTCATATTTATTTTATATACAATAGTTAGTGATCATTTGAATAAAATTTAAAGCTTTTTTTAAATTTTATTTCATTGTAATCAAAGATTTTTCAATTAATATTATTTGAGAATATAGAATATTTTTTCTAATTCACTTAAAGTGATAAATCCTCTTTTAATCACTTAAAAACCTTCATATAATTCATTTTATACTCAATATCTACTTCTCTATTGCCTCGGTTAAGATAACATGTAACATGGTAACATGTAATATGGTGAGAAAATAATATTTTTTATATAAGATAACTTAGTAATCTCAGGTTTAAAAATCATTTACATAATCATTATGTGAGTCTTTATATATATATATAATCTTTTCACATGAAATTCCTATGCGGACTTGTCCAATGTACATGTCTTATAATAAACACTTACATATTAGTTTCAGGTATTCTTTATATCTCAACTTGTGATAATAGTTTCTTCATTTCATTAAAAAAAAATATAATATGTATATGATCCTAAAAAATATATGATATTTAAGAGAACACAATTAGAAATCTTTCTCAAACAATGCTATTATATAATAAAATTTCATAAAAAATTATATAATTATAATAATTTTATAATTTTTCTTGTAAAGATATATATATATATATATATGATCTTTTCACATGAAATTTCTATACGGATTTCTTCAGTATATTAGAAAAATTATTAATGATTTAATTTAATCTTTTAGTAATTAGGTTATCAGTATAATTAATATCATTTTATCAATGATATTTCAATTTAAAATTAAAGCATAGAATATATTTGTCATATTTATTTTATATACAATAGTTAGTGATCATTTGAATAAAATTTAAAGCTTTTTTTAAATTTTATTTCATTGTAATCAAAGATTTTTCAATTAATATTATTTGAGAATATAGAATATTTTTTCTAATTCACTTAAAGTGATAAATCCTCTTTAAATCACTTAAATACCTTCATATAATTCATTTTATACTCAATATCTACTTCTCTATTGCCTCGGTTAAGATAACATGTAACATGGTGAGAAAATAATATTTTTTATATAAGATAACTTAGTAATCTCAGGTTTAAAAATCATTTACATAATCATTATGTGAGTCTTTATATATATATATAATCTTTTCACATGAAATTCCTATGCGGACTTGTCCAATGTACATGTCTTATAATAAACACTTACATATTAGTTTCAGGTATTCTTTATATCTCAACTTGTGATAATAGTTTCTTCATTTCATTAAAAAAAAATATAATATGTATATGATCCTAAAAAATATATGATATTTAAGAGAACACAATTAGAAATCTTTCTCAAACAATGCTATTATATAATAAAATTTCATAAAAAATTATATAATTATAATAATTTTATAATTTTTCTTGTAAAGTATTTATAAATCAAATATTAGATTTATTAATTTAATATTATATGAATAGGATTTTTTAATATTTTATTATTTTTTATATATGTCTCACAATTGGTGCTCTTAGCAATTTTAACCTTTTATCCGGGGCATTTTGTTAAGTGAATGCAATCTTCATTTCATAAAATATAATTCACAAATATATCTTATTTATTCATGGAGTTCTTTTGCTAAGTGGAGGCCTTAAGTTATCGTTAAAGATGGCTATATGCTCTCTAGTAAAAAGTTAATTGATCATTGTATTAATAAATTTATTAATATAGACTTGATAAAGATCTCATGCTGGCACTCTGCACATTTCTATATATATTTTCGCCATTAAAACTAGAAGAATTAATAATCTAAAAGGCATGGATAGACAAGCTGATTGTGAACCCATTAGTTAATTTAACATTGATGTTTTATTAGACTTGCGAGTAATAATTAAACTCGTGTTACCAATGAGAATATACAACGTTAAATCTTGTGTTCTCAATCTTACATGAAGGATAGTTCTTATCTGTACATGTTTATACAAGCCGATTATACATACGTGTATAAAGGAAGTATGCTTATACAAGTCGATTATATATACGTGTATAAAGGAGGTTCTTTGAAGTCAAAGTGAAATACTTGTATTCTATAATTCTAAGATTTTAAAATTTAGAAATTGATTTGACATTAACCCGAAAGATAAGAGATTAATTTGTAGTTAATAATCCTAATAAATTCAAGTAAGGTTAAATCTCGGAATAATTCCATCTTTCAGGTGGATACGAGTTCTTTCTTTTTCTCTCCTTTCATTTTGGGTCAACGCGTGAGTTCGTTGACCAACATTAAAGACAAACATGGAATGCGAATTTGCGAAAGGAAAGGGTAAGTGGCGGACTTTACGAGGATTTAATGTCTTTAAAATAAAATTGTCCGGACTCGGATTATTTTATGCAAGTAGACCGTGTTTGGATTGTTTTTAAAAAACGTTTTCTAGTTATCAAGAAAATGCCCCTCCAGATATTTTATTAAAATTGATTACAAGCAGCGTATCATAATGGCAATTGAAATGGTCATCTCACAGAGCACAATACAACGTTTGGCTAAAAGTATCGTAGTCTGCCTTTACCCTACTGTTCAAGAATTTTTTATTATTATAGGGTTATCAAGGTGCAAACTAGTCTAAACATCTATATTAATAAAAAAAATATTTTAAAAGTGATATATTTATTTAATTAATTAAATTTTAAATTTATTTAATGATATATTTATTTAATTAATTAAATTCTAAATTTATTTTTAAAAATTATTAATCTAAATTCTACAAATTTTAAAATTATTTAAGACTTACATGTTTATTAATTTTTAAATTTATATCTAAGTTAATTTTTTTAAATTCTAAGTATTTTATGTTCAAGTTTGTTTGGATTTTCATATTAATTAAAAAAATTTCTTACTTTGAAATAAAATGATAAGTAAAAGAATGTATAGTGCTGAGCTGCCAGTTTTATAATATTGACTTTGAATTTTTCTTTTGCTACAGTTTTGACTTTGAATTGAAATAGCTTACACACGCAGAGAGTAATTTAAAACGATATCAACATTTAACCGCACACCAGTTGCTTATGCCGCCAACATGCTCGTCTGACCAGCGAAAAAGCCATCGCACCCTGCCGAATCAGCATGGCATGTAGCGTTTCAAATAAAATTTAAAAAATATTGAAACCAGTTTATTTAAATAAAAATATATATAAAATGGTCACCACGCTGATTCCCAGATCCTTCTCACCTTCCGTGAATAATGGGAGGAACATCTGTTTATAATAGCAGAATAAATTAGCAGAATCTCTTCGAAATATAACATTTAGTTGTTGAACACTGGACTGGTATCATTGCTGCTCCTCTAACCTCGGACAGTGCATGCAGTAGAACACGATAATCACAACAACTCATGGAGATCTATGGAGTGTTGATGGGCTAGGTACAGTTAACGCTTGCCCTCCTCTCTACTCCTCATGCTGCCATAAGGGTTCTTGTTGAATTGTCAGGTAGGGTGAAAGCAACAACACTAGCTTGAAAACTCAAGGATTCTCGAAATTGTAGAAATTGTTTTGTCCAAAAAATAGCTTAAGCTA